AGAACATCCATAAAGTCAGTTTTGAACAGCTTTTAGCAGAAAAGTACAAGTAGTATTTTTGAGATGACAAACACATGAAATCTTGTTTCTATATATAAACTTAAAAACAAAAAATGCATTTTTAGAAGATAAGTTTATTGATGAGAAGTTAATTCACATGATAAAGTGAGTGTGCAAAACTATGGAAAATTTTAGTAATTCTTTTGTCCTATACACATCCTTTATTCAGGGTATGCATCTGTTCAATCCTGACATTTCAAAGTTTGGAACTGCTAGCTCAAGCTTTAGTAGTGGTGCTGGTGGAGCTTATAATGATGGGAATGGAGAGAACTGCACGTTCTAGCTCAGGCACCTTATTAGGAATTTTCCATATCCTGCCTTACTTACTCTTCATAATTTTTAATAACAGTAATAAGACAATAGATTGATGAGACATTTACTGCAGGCTTCTCTTGTACAGAAACTGTGCTAAGTCCCTTACATAGAAAATCTCCTTTAATTTCCATTTTAATTCTATAAGGCCAGTGTCATTTTCTACCTAATAGATGTGAGAACTTATTTTCAGAGGTGTTAAGTGACTACCAGAGGTGTGAATGCATTTACATAGCTTAAAATTCATACAACTGAGGTTTAAATGCACATCCATATGATTGCACAGGCTGAGCCTGCTTTTCTATCATTGTATTGTGTCATTCAGACATTTTATTAATGCCTTTGCTATTAATAATAGACAATTTTTATATGAGACCAATTCAAAGTATCAAGCATTGTACTAGACCCTGTATTATATTATCTTGATTAATGCTGATATTTGCCTATATAATGCTCTTATCCCTATTTAATAGATGAAGATACTGAGGTTCAGAGTCTTGTAGGCCAAGGCTGTACATTAATTGAATGACTCTAGTGAAATACTGATCCAGGCCTGTATTGGTACAAAGTCTATGGTCTTTCCACTAAACTTGACTGATGAATCAACCCAGGTAACACACACACACACACACACACACACACACACACACACTACAAGAACAACAACAACAGTGACTGTTGTATTTTGTAGATATATAGTATGGGCATTTTAATGATGCTAATTCTTGCTATCCATGTACATAGTATATGTTTTCATTGATTTGTATCTTCTTCAATTTCTTCAGTGTCTTATAATGTTTTGAGTACAGGTGTTTTACATCCTTGGTTAAATTTATTCCTAGGTATTTATTCTTTTTGAAGCAAATGTGAATGGGATTATTTTCTTAATTTCCTTTTCGATAGTTCATCATTGGCATGTAAAAATGAAACTGATTTCTGAATATTAATTTTGTATATTGCTACTTTACTGAACTCATCAATCAGTTCTAGCAGTTTGTTAGTGGAATCTTTAGAGTTCTCTGTGTACCATATCATGTCATCTGCAAATAACAACAGTTTTGCTTCTTCCATTCCAGTTTAGATACCCTTTATTTCTTCTTGCCTGATTGCTTTGGTTAGGACATCAATACTGTGTTTAATAAGAGTGGAGAAAGCAGACATCCCTGTCTTGTTCCCTATCTTAAGGAACATGTTTTTAATTTTTGCCCATTGAGGATGATGTTGGCTGTAGGTTGGTCATATATGCCCTTTATTATGTTGTTATGTTCCCTCTATTCCCACTTTGCTGAGAGCTTTTGTCATAAATTGGTGCTGGATTAGATCATTTTTTTTAAAAAAGCGTTGTAAATTCCTCTTCTGTCCTTTTGATTTGTAGGTCTTTTAAAAAGCTCAGAGAGCCTCTTGGCAATTTTACAGTCCAGGAAAATTTTTCTTAAGGGCCTTGGAGACCTCTTTTAAATTGAAAATATCAAGATCTCACCCAATCTCCCTGGCTCTGTAGGAGCTTACCCTAGGTGCCTGGCTCCTGCTTGGCAGAGAGCTATATGGTATTTTATTTTCTGTTCAATAAGGAAAATTATCAAACACAGATGTCCAGTCAATTCCAAATGAATTTAGGATAAACTATGTGAAGTAAATGCTTCTGTCAAGTCCTCTTACAGCAGCCGTAGCAAATGACTGCATCCATGTATACACTATATCATTACTGTGTAATTTGTTTTTATTGTTCTTACTGCTTATTGTTTGTCCACCCCAGCCACTGGCTCTCCACCTCCCAGAAAGCTCTCCACCACCCAAACAATCAAAAAAGGTCAAAAGGGAGGGAGCTTTTCCATTGCTATACCTAGAACCTAGAAGAGTTCCTGGTACACAGTAGCTATTTAATACATATCTGAATAAAATAATCTTCACATGTTTTCATCATTTAATCATTTTACTTGCTTTTGGTGCATTTTCCTGATTTTTTTCATTTAGTTTTATTATTTACAGTAATTGGCAACCCAGCTTGCAGGAATGCTTTAACCACTAAAACTCAGTTTAACATCTCTTTCTGAATTAAATGTTTTAAAATAATTGTTAAAAGTAAGGATGTTAACTGTTTATAATTTTATCTCCATTTATTTCCCCTAGCCATGCTTTATGATAGTTTTAAGGAAGAAGTAATCAAGTCAGACACAAGGAGAGAATAGGGAAAAAAAAAGTTAGACAATCAGCTCTTGAGCAATGGAGAATTGATTGAATGTAAATTGTTTAGCTCACTAAGTAATCTCCATGGAAGAAATTATTATGCATAATAATCATCTAAAGCCATTGAATCCCTTCTTAATAACTTCAGTTCACCAACGCATTTCAACTTCTCAGCCTTCAATTATTAAGAACATTTAGTCATCTCTGGTTAGGGAAATAAATTGCTTTCTTTTAGTTCAATGGTTTAAGAGCCAAAAATTAGCTTATCCAGTTTAACTAAACTCATTTATCAGCAACCATAAAATCTGTGAGGTTTGACAGTTATTGTATATTAGCTACTGTAGGTACTCTATAAAATATCTCCCTATGTATTTATAAATATTTGTTCTTATTGATGAGATTTTTCCTTTTTATTCACTAAAGTTAAACTTTAAAATTGATTGCCCTAGTGAAAGTAAAAATACCTACTGTTTTTAAATAAGATGCTATTTTCAGCTTAAACTTTTTTTGTCTAAGTTAAGACAATAGCTTTAAATCGAAGCCTTGAACATGGAAGGTTTTAACTTATAAGAGCTTCATTTTCCAAAAGCAAACCTTAATGTTTTTTAAACTTATCAAAATTTTTGTTTTATTTATTGATATTTAGAGAACATTGATTTGTTGTCCCATTTATTTATGCATTCATTGGTCGAGTCTTGCATGTACCCTGACCTGGGATTGAACTGGCAATCTTGGGGTGTTGGGAAGACACTAACCAACTGACATACCTGGCCAGGGCCAAAGCTTGATGTTCTAAACATAATTTCACTGTGAGCCATAGTATGGAGAAAAGTGAAGATATTTTCAGTAGGGGATATTCTTAGTAGACAGAGAGAAGCACAAACTCTGAATAAAAAGGAGAGAAAGAAAGAGAAAAGCAAATAGGCACCCAAGTTTCTTCAAAGACCTGGGGAAGACACTCATATATGACCAGATTGATTAGAGGGAAGCTAAAAGCAGAGGAGGCTCACCCAAGTCTCATATTTGGAAATCTAGAAAGGGACTGAAAAGCAGAGCTTTTGCAGCAACATAAGGTCAACACAGCAGTATAGACATAGCAGCTTATAGCATCTGACCAAAAAAGCCATGCTGCCTGTCTCAGTTCTTGGTGACCTGTATGAGGAGTAGAATTTCATAAGTTCTTGCTGAGTTCTCAGTGATGAGTTTAAAGCTCTGAATAGTCCCAGATTCGGCATGGGCAGGACCCCACAAGGCACCCAGGCTCAGGATGAAATGAAGGATGTGGCTGAGACTCAGAGTGATTGCAGGGTTTACGCCTCAATGTTAGCAGTGGTGCAGGATTCTGGGGCGGGACTCTCAGGCCCCGGTCTTGCTGAGAGCAGACCATTTGTGATATGATACAGGCAGAGGCTGACATAACCGGGAGGTCAAACAGGGCGATCACTGTGCTGGGCTGGATGGAGTTCAATAGGAGCCGGCAGAGGGAACCGTGTGGGTCAGTGCCACCTTCAGCTTCCCCTCTGTGGAGACATCTCCTGGTGCAGGAGGAGGGGCGCCCAAAGAGAGCCCCCACAGAGATGCTGGACTTCAACTGATTAAACAGTTATCAGAATTACCTATTATTTGCAAACTTAGTAAGTCTGGTTTGTTGTTTATCCTTAAGAAAAGGAATCAAAGCAGGGAATGGTTATAGGAACTAAAGATGAGGTTAGAAGACAGTAATCTGGGCCATATGTGCAAATTTTCAACTATTTCCAGGGACTTGCTTCTTGAAATAACTGGCAAAAACAAGAATTTCAATTGAAAAGCTTGACCTCAATTTAGTAAAATAGCATATGAGACTTCAGTCCTGAATAGCATAAATTATATTAATCATTCTACAGCTTGGCCAAAAAGAAATTAATTTTTCCCCTGTGGATACTGTAAATATTCTTTAAAATTATTTAATACTTGGAAATACAGATACCATTCATACTTCACATTTTAGAATATAAAGGATGCATATAAAAACAATCTTCACTTGATTGTTACTGTTGTGTAAGTCTAGAGTAAATTTAAAATCTACTTTATTTGGTAAATTAACTGTGTACTCCTAGGAAAGTGGAGATAAAGTGACAGTTTGACCAATTATCAATAATAGGAGATATTAAACTGTAGGAGTTCTAAAACTCTACCCAATGTTTGCAATTATAATCATGCTTTGGACATACAGCTGTCTTTTATTTATAATTTGCTGGACATACTAAACATTTTCTGTATATTCACAAACCAAGAATTAAGAAGCACATGAAATAGCAATGAGGCAATGGATATTTCTCACATGTTGAATTAAGTGTTTCTCAGGAAAAATATTATTATTATTTTAAATAAAAATACTGAGTTTGTAGATGTAACTTTTATTCAAACAACAAATTACACTTCACTCATTTATAAGACAAAGGAAAACAAAAGGTAATGTAGCTACTTTTTAATGTGAAATCAGATTGGACTGACACTGACTTTATACAACCAAATTCACTGCACTGTAACGAACAAAACTATCTTCCACACACTATGAACTGACATTCAAATTCAGAAAATTGACACATAAATTAAATTAATTAGTTAACAAAACCTGTTCATCGGGTACACATAGTTATCGTGGATATACATTGGAATGATTCCAACATTCGTTCTTTCCTTGGTAAACTGTGAGAATCATGACATATGAAGACAGCGTATAAGAGACAGTAAGTCGGCTTTGATTCCGTTATTAAGGAACCCATACAGAATTGGGTTAAGACAACAAGACATCATGCCCAGCAAATGACAGATGCAGTACACCAACTTGAAGTGCCTATTTGAAATAAGGTTATCATTAAAATCGGTTACGACATGGAAAAGGTGTAGTGGCATCCAACTGATGGCAAACACGAGTATCAGTATGGTCAGTCTGTAGAAAACACCTCGAGATCTCTTTTTGAGCCTCATGATAGAGCGGTTTACTCTCATTTCATGAGCATCAGAGTTTTCTTCAGGTTTCATCTCAAAGCAGGTGCGGACCCCTGGTATGGACTTACTGGAGGAGAAGAGCTGACTCTTCACACAGCCGAAGTTTTCTGGGAGCGCGCTTGAATGATGGTCTTGAGGAGGTCTTGCTGGAACAGGTAACACGCATGCCTTCTTCCTGCTGTATCTTCTTCTGTGTTTTCTGATGAATGAATAGCTCCACTTATGGCTGTTGGAGAGTTTCACCTGAGGCCCACTCTTTTTGGATGGATGAAGAGTTAAGTTGATCATCTCATTTTCTTCTAGTTTGTTTTCTTTGTCCGGTAATCCACAGCTTATACTCCTGCAGACACTGGTATGACTTATCGTGAGACAAACTAAGGGCAGAATATACTGCACTAGCAATAAAGAGATTGTAAAAGCAATTCTGTATGAGTCAGATGGCCATGATTCAACACATAAATACCTGCTGCTCAGCAATGCTGAGCCAAATGTTTCCCGAAGTTCCACAAGACTGTGAAACACGGGAAGGGGAGAACAAATCGCGAAACCTAGTGTCCAGACAGTGGCTATCAGGAAGTAGCCATGGTTTGCTGTTAGATTATTAGATATGGGGTGCTTTATCATATGATACCTGACAATGGCAATCGATATTAGAATTAAAGTTGAAACCAGAACCGACACACACTGAAGGAATGGCATGATATGACACATGACTTTGCCAAACATCCACTGATCCAGCAGGACGGAGGTCAGTGTGAAAGGTGAGCAGAAAAGCACGACCAAGATATCAGAGAAGGCCAAATTTCCTATGAGGAAGTTCACCGTTGTCTTCTGATGACGCTTTCTCATGAGAGCCATTAAAATGAGGAGATTCCCCATGAAACCAAGAAGACTTACCAATGTATAGAGTCCAATCAGAAAATACTGCAAGTCATCTACACTGCTTTTATAGTCATCCCAGACTGGGAAATTGGAATTCCGAGGGGCAGCAGTATTGTTCTCTGTGGGAAACGTCAGGTTATAATAACTCTTAAAGTCCAAATCCATATTATTGTCCTGCTTGGAATAAAAAGACATTAGTTAGCAATTTGAAAAAAATTACATGACTACTATAAATTAATCTGCTGTGAGGGAAACTGAATTTTACAGTTGGTTCCCATTATCTTATTAAACTCCTAAGGAAGGTTTAGTGAGGTCTTTAGTTGGTTCCTAGTGCAGTACAAATGTTAGCCAATAACAATTATAGTAAGTCTAAGTCTATCTTATTTCAATGGTGTGTTTGCTTGTGTTAAAATAGCAGACTGTTGTTTAAATTAATGTAGGAAATAATGTAAGGACAGGAACAGGCAAGTGTACATGAGAACTTCAAGATACCTAATTTACAATAGCTCAGTAGTACTCTTGTCCAGTCAAGGTACCTAACATATGGTGTAGTCATATAACCTACCTTAAACATTCCTTCCTTTTCTACTTGAATTAAGATCAAAGTTAAGAGTCATCTATCCTAAAGTATTCCTTGGTCTACTCAGTTGGATATATCTCCTTTTCCAAACCTCCATAATGCTCTGTTTATAATTGTCTAATGCTACATGTTACAATCTGCCTTGCTTTGCAATTATAATGTGAATCACCTATCTTATTTATTTATAAGCAATAGAAAAGCAGAGACTGTCCTTTACTCACCATGGTATCTACCATAATGCGTGGCACAGTAACCACCATTGCAGATGTTAAATAAATATTTATGGGACAATAAAAAATACAAACAGAAACCTAGCACTCTAAATGTTATCTAGTTCATAAAGTGCACAAATTAAAACTTTTCAAGTGTAGAAACATTATATCAGTACCTACATGTATATAGTAGACACTCAGTAAATGTCTATCAAGATGTACTCTTGGCAAAAACATTCCATGAGCAATCTCTGTCCTTTGAGATTGCCGGATCATCATGAATGAACACTACCACTGACCAACAATGCTGCTGGTGCTTTAAAAACAAAATTTACCTCTTAGAAATTGAAAATGAATTTCAGCTTTAAAAAATTCAGTTGCTTAAGAAAAAATTTTCATATTGTTTAAGGAACAATATTATATCCTAAGATAAAATGTAGAAGTGATATTAATATAAAATCTCATAATCAGTTTTTTCATTTCAAAGGAAATTAATAATGTTTTAGAATCTATATCACCATGGTGTCACTTATTTGCTGCTGTATACCAAAGATTTTACAGCACTTCCTAATGAAACACAAAACTGCCCATAATATATCAATAAAATTTTAAAAAGGAACTCCTCCTCCATTTTTAAAAATGTAAGCACTCTTATTTAACAAAAATTTCCTACTGAATATTCAAGACAGTGTAGTTAATTCTGATGAGTATACATTGTTATGGAGGTCCTGATATATATGTGGTTTAAAAAAGCAATATGTATTTATCTACCTATTGCTAGACTAAGTTGAATAATTATGCTTAAAACTATAAAAATACATATATTTAAATTAATAATATACATTATTATCTTCAATTTAAATACTATTATCTTCAACTTACAGGTCTTGGTCCAATAAATTTCTAAGCAGGAAATCCTCCTGTGTACAGACACTCATTATAAGTAACTTTAACTTCAGCTTTGCATGCAGCAAGTTTCAACTAGGTACATTGGTCAGTAATATTTTACTCTAACTGAGTGCCACCTTATAAGTCTCAAGAGCACAAACCCTTTGTAGAATCGACTCTCTAATGATTCTTTTCTTCTTTCTTACCTTGGCAGTAGGAAAGGCAATCAGTAACTACTTATCTAACAAAAAAGGATTTTCAAGTACATGAGTTAAAAGAAAAACTAAGCAGGAACACGGTAACAAATAGCCTGTACACACTATAAGCAGGAACACAATCATTGACAAACTAGATGGAGTCGGGGGGTCATCAAAACTCATAAAATTAGTCAGAAAGGCCAGTCAAGGCCGAACTGATTTGCAGCTTACTCAACTATCCAGGATGGTGGCAGGGAGGCCGCTGACAGAACTGTGATGAATGAGATGATTCAGTAGGCCACGTGAATTCCTTTTGTACCAGTTCCACTTCCTAACTTGAGGTCATGTCAATTTAAATTGTTAGGACTTAAGAATGACTGAATAAGATCGTGAGTTTTTGAATAAATTTATCTTTAAAGGGATGCAATTAGCTTCCAGAGAGTAATCAGTCAACATAGAATCAGATGTAGATGTTGTGAAAAACTCGTCTCAGATTTTCTCATTAGTCAATGCGCGGTAGGCAGTTAGACACGAGAAGAGCAAGACCGATGGGCCAGGTACAGAAGGTGCCCAGGGTAATCTTTCCTCCCCTAGCAATTTGCTGGTCACACAGCGTAGACTCCTTGACCTTTTATCCCTGGAGGGGGTCATATAGGCTTCAGTTGTATTTTAGCTCCAGGCCCAGAAAAGCATCAAAACCGGGTGAGTGATGCCTGGATCAACTGCAGTGACTAAAGGCTCCCTGCCTGGCTGCTGATCAATCGGTGGTGACCACAACCTCAAAGGACACACCTGGAAAGCTGATGAATATTCTACTGAGACCCTCCCCTGGGACCTCCCTTAAAATTCCCTCCTTTAAAAGCTCTTACTATAGAGGACTTAGAGCACTTTCTCTCCCAGGAGCATGCCCTGGCCTTTCCCCTCCTCTTCGAGTCCTCCCACCCAACCCAGGGAGGTTACCTTTACCCTTCTCTCTCCTAAGCTTCAAGGGCCCTTTCTTTTACTCCTGTAACTTGTTTCTCGAGCCCATTCCTTCTACCACTCATTTCTTTTACTTCTGTGACTTTTTAAATAAACATGTCTCTTTTAGTTTGAGCCTTGGCTCTGAATTCTTTCCTCGCCAGAACACATGTACCAAGACTGCCAAACCAAAGTCCAGTCCAGTCTGACCCCACTGGTCTAACACCTGGTGTCCTTCTCACTGCTGCCAACAAATGCACCTGGTTGTATGTCAGCTGTTGAGTGGCCTGTCTGGTTTTGCTGTTTTCCTGGGCCTGCAGCTGAGACACAACTGAGATCTGGATGTATTTGATGCAGATTAGAACCTCATTGTCAAAATGCTATGGTACATTTACACAACGGAATTCTATGCAGCAGAAAGAAAGAAGGAGTTCCTACCCTTTGCAACAGCATGGATGGAACTGGAAAGCATTATGCTAAGCAAAATAAGCCAGGCGGTGAAAGACAAATACCATACGATTTCACCTTTAATAGGACCCTAAAACAACAAAACAAAAAAACAAGCAAAATATAACCAAAGATACTGAAATAGAGAACAGGCTGACAGTGACCAGAGGAGAGAGGAGAGGGAATTTCAGGGGAAAAGGGGAAGGGTTTACAGGAGCCAGTATAAAGGACACATGGACAAAAACTAGGGGGGGGTGGAAATGGGAGGGAGGTGGGGAACACTGTGGGGTGGGCTGGGATGGGAGTAAAAGACAACTACTTGAACAAAAATTAAAATTGAAAAAAAAAGAACTTTATTGTCCTGGGGGTCTCAGTGCTTAAGAACTATTCTTCAGAGCCCTTGATTATGCCTCATCAAAGGAGATCTAACCTCCATGACTACCAACAAACCAGGGAGGATCCTAATGGTACGACCAGCGATATGGAAGGTTGGGGGTCTAAACCTGCATGACCAGTGAGTGATATGCTAGGGGCAGAAGGGCTACCCTGGGGGAAAGGTCCTTGTTTTCCTGGTTTAGCCCCTGGCTAGGCAACGGGGGGGGGGGGGGGGGGGGGGGGGGCTTTCCACCCTGGTGACTATCTTCCTTGCTTTGTTCATGTCTGTCTAACGGCCTACCAGAGAACCACTTTAAAATTAAAGAAAAAAAAGCATAGAGAATTTCTTTCCTTAAACTTACCCCTTCACTTTCTTTTTCCTGAAAAGTACAGTACGCAGACCTGTAACAAAAACGCATCAGTGGAATAATTCTTTGCCTTCAACAGGTGTTAGAATGAACACTTTACAATTTTATGCAACAAAAATATTTCATGCATAATAAAAGAAATGTTATATGTGAACCTTTCTTCACCGTACTGTAGATTCCTAGAGAAAAAATGAAATATAACCAGGAGAATGTTCTGTAAATGAAATGTTTGATAAGCAACATGAGAGTATTGTGTGAAATCTTTGTTGTGGCTAAATACTGCCTAAATATGAGATTTTGGTCCTCACTGTTGTATGTAACTTTATTTCCCACCAGATAAATGACAAGGCTGAACATTAAAACTTGAATCCTCAGAGTAGAAAGCGAAAAATGTAAGTTCTTCGTCAAACTGTGGCAACTTTAAAAAAGCAATGTCTTTGTAAAGCCCTACAGTAACTTTTCAATAAAAATCTATATCTGAAACCAAGACACATGAAATCTTCTGAGTAGACTTCAAATGTGTTAAGTAGGCACTTCTTAGAAAGACTGAGAGGAGGAACTGCAGGGAACTTGGAAGACAGTAAGACTTAGCTTAGTACACTTAAGTAACATTTATGAAGGTAATCACCTGCCTGATGCAAGTGCACATTTTTCTTCTCACAAAGGATGCCCATCACACAAAATAAAACTGATGTAAATTCCCCCTCTAAGAATGTTAAAACAATATTGACTCTTGCCTATTTTGCTGTGATCCTGAAATGATGGCGAGATTCCAGGTTCTCCAATCTTTCCATGATTCGTGTTTAAAGCCAGAATCTGGCAAAATTTGAATTGGAAAGATGAATACAGCTCCGCTGCTCAACTGACAAACAGGCAGGCATGCGCCGCCCTCGTCTCAGTTCTTAAAAGCAGAGCTGCTCTTCCCTTGAGAAATCTGAAATTTAAAATGCACTCGGGATGCAAAATTCTGCTCAGAGTGCTTTAGGCTATTTCCCTGGTCTAAGGCAAAGTCTCTTTTTAAAAGATAAAATAAAGGTCCGTAGACTTGGGGATAACAATTTCCCGTGTCTATCATTCAAGGTGATGGATGGATGGTATTGAGGCATTTGTCATATGAAGCCACCTTGCACACAGGAGAGCAAGCCTGGGGCGCCGCTGCCTCCGGGCCGCGCGGCAGCCGGACGCCCGGAGTGGCGCGGGCTGGACTGCACTCGGGGGCCGGGCGAGGGCTGAGCGCTGGCGGGGGCGTCCCGCGGGCTGCAGTTCTCCACCACCGATGCCAGCGGGGCATCACTCGGCTCGCTCCGCCGAGGTGGAGCGCTTGGTCCTCCCCATGCCCCCGCCCCTCCCTCTCCCTCCCAGGCTCCCGCGTGGACCCCGGGCACCCTCTTCCCTGGTTCAGCCCCTGCCTGCTCCACTCGGGTGAGTACCTGCCCCGTACGAAAGAATTCTGCCCGTCCATTCTCCACTCCCCTTCCACGCCTTCCTGCTCCGCCAGCCGGTCCCCGCCCGACTTTTCCAGCTCCGCCACCTTGGGCTTCCCCACCCCGCCCTCCCGGGAGCCCCGACAGCACCCGGGGACCGGGAATCGGGTGGTGCGGCTCCCGGGGCCCCACGGGGACTCACCCTTCCCTGCAGGCCCACCCCCACGCGGAAGGGGGCTGCGGGGAGAGGTCGAAGACGGTACCTCGGGGTGAGCCCGCCGCTGTCAGCGTCTCGGCTCCCGGGGACCTGGCGAGCGCTGTCGCTTCCGCGCGGGCGGCGGCTGGAGGAGGAGGAGACCTGGAAGATGGCAGTGGGAGGAGGGCGCAGGGAGCCGCAGGGGGGTTTTGAGGTGCCACGGGAACACGTGACTGCTCCCGCGACCCCCGAGACCCTGCTCCAGGGCGCCGGCTCGGCTCCAGGGCGCCTGCTCCGAGCCCGCCTCTCCCGAAGCCCGGGCGGGGGCAGCCCAGCCCCTACGTTCCCAGCTGGGGCCCTGGGGAGAAGCTGCAGGCCCCCGGGTGGCACTCCGTGGCCCTGGCCTCCGGTTCGCCACGGGGCCAAGTTAACTTGATGAACAGGAACATCTCCGCCCATTGTGATCCCAGCCCGGGGGAAGTGAGCTCGGAGGAGTCTGGAGCTGGCGTGGGAGCGCGGGGGCATCTGGAAGGGCTTAGGGTCCCCGTGAAAAAGCCGCAAGGCCCAGGTTTTCCCTTTGTTTGAATAAAATAAAATGAAATGAAAACAAGACCAAAACAGACCATGACTCTCTCTTGCACCGTTTTGGAGTGAGGAAGGGAGAAGTCTAGGCAGGAAGGTTGACCTGAGCGTCTGGGCCCCGGCAGGGGTCGGGGTGGCGCGCGGCGCAGAAGACGAAGAGGAGTCACCGGGTCCCTCCCGAGGAGGAGCGGGGCCGCGGGGCGGGCGTGGGGAGGGAGGCTGACGTGGAATCCGCGCTTCTGACACTAAGTGGCAGAAAGACGACGAAGAGGGAAAGAGTGTTGTCATGCATTTAAAAAGACAAAAAGAAAATAAAACTTGTTTTCTTTTTTCTCCTCTTATGACGTTCATTCCCAGCGTTTCCCAATCTGTATTGCGGACGTTTGTCTTATTATTTTTTTTAAACATGGTGTGTGTGTGTGTGTGTGTGTGTGTGTGTGAAAGAGAGAGAGAGAGAGAGAGAGAGAGAGAGAGAGGTCTTTGACCAGAGCGGTGCATGAGAAAGGGGAGAAAGGGCGGATGTGCGGTACACACTGTAAAACTGAGAAGGACCGAGGGACAGTCAGAGCGACTGCCGCTCCGTGCCCTGGAGCGGTCTGTGTCCTTTGGGAACAATGAGACTTGTACATCTGATTCTGGGGTCAGCAACCTATCTATTATCCGAAAAGTCAGACGCGCATTCTTTTGCTTTTCTGCTGAATTTTAGCATCCTCCGGGGATCTGTGTAGATTGTCATTGTATCAGCCAGATAAGCTTTTAAAAACCTCAAGTAAATCCAGTTCCTTTTTCGTTCTTTTCCTTTTCGTTTCTGGAATACGAGCACATTCTCCCCCAAAATTTAACACAACAGGCAGTCTGAGCAGGCCAGTGGGATTCTGAAGTAGGTGGAGGGAGGGATGGATGTGTTAAGAAGAGATGACCAGCGAGAAGGAAAGCTTGGTTCTTAGATTTTCTTAATTCCAACATCTGTGCAGTTAACGCACTGCACGTTGTCACCTACCTTCCCATCCTTCTACCCCTGCCTTGCACAGTTACAATACAGACCAATGTCCAATACACACTGGCTTCGAAACAACATTCAAAGGAGCCCTGTTGTGACTATCTTCCAAAAAGCCTGTCTATGCTATACACTTTTGTATGGGAAAAAGAAAAAGGGCTTTTGTTTTTTCTCTTCCACGAATTTTCTTGTACTTTGGATGATACGAACTTCTAGGATGAAGTCATTGTTTTAGAGTTATTAAGACACCAACATGCCATCGAGATGAAGACTTTGATTAACCTGCCATTTCCTTTCCCACCACATCCCACCTTCAGAACATGAAGTCTCAAAAGGGGAGTCGTAATTTCTTCTTTAACTACATATTCAATGTACACAGAGTAAACAAATGATTACTAAGGATTCTTGATGGATGGAGACGAGGTGGTGCCCACACCGCACAGTGTGCTGATGTGTTGTGGAACTGTGCACTTGAAACCTGTGTAATTTCGTTAGCCAGTGTCACCCCAATACATTCAGTAATAAAAAAAGATCATTTTGGGGGAAGAAGCAATTTAAAAGCTCCTACACTATGCTACATAAAGAAGAAGATATAAAGATGCATATATTTTTATGTTCAGATTTCCCAGGAAGGGATTCAAGACTAGTCATCATCACTCTTGTAGAACATAATAATTTTGTTTCTGTTTTATGGAGTAACATTCAAGCAGGAAGAGTACTACCTCTGGGAACAGAAATAGTAATGTCCACCTCTGCTCCAGTGTTTTTCCTACTCTGTGTTTATGAAATGCTCATGTGGGAAATTAACTTGGATTTTATGTGTGTTACAAAATTAAACTTGCTGTTTCCCAGTAGTCATGGTTCTTTATCAGTTACGAAAGACAGCTTATCTATTAAGGTTAAAGTTAAAATCACTGGGGACACCTAAGACAAATGATTGAATAATAAAACACTCTTCAAACAATGCCTGGGGTGACATTTTTCTGAAGAACATGTCTGTTGTTTTTGTCAAAGTTATTAACAAGTATCATTTGTGGAGGAAGATGGTTGCTAAAGTGTTTTGGTATAATCTCAAATGATATATGATCTTGAAATATTAGCTATAGGAATAGTGGGGATAAATAAACTAGAAAGAAGTGTATGATTATACTTGATGCATTTTTTTTCTCCAAGAATTTTTTTTGTATTCATTGAAAGTAACACTTCTTTATCCACTGCTTCTATCATAGTCAAGTTAAATCCTTAATTCTTAACACATGTAGAAAGGGCCATGTTTGCATGTTATCAAAGATATTTTTATGATGCTCATTGCTTCATTGATTTCTTTAGATTAATAGTAGTTTGTCATATAATCAATAGTTAGGACTTAAAATGAGGAATTACGTTATAATTGTGACAGACATATAATTTTTTAAGGAACAGCAGCTATTTAAAAACAGTAAACCTAAATTACTTGGGTGCATAGAGTCATTTCCCCAGGCAAGTCGGTGATTGTTCAGAGGTCCTCAGGGAGCACTGTAAACATATCATTAATGCCTTCTAATTAGCTGTGCCACTGAAGCAAAACTTTGTCTTTCCTTTTGATACCTTAAAGGAATGACATTTCCAGAAAGACTGTGCAGTTTTTAAAAAGTTTTCCATGTTAAAAATACAGAAAAACATATGTGTGATATGCATGTATATAGTTATACAATCACACATATATTTGTATATGGGACACTTACTTATTGGAATACCTGAGTTGTGGTCAGGTTTTATTGCAAGTTAATGGTGTGTCTTTAGACAGAGTACCTGATCTTTTTAGTCCTCTCTTTTTCTAAAAAAAAATTGAAATGTTTTGACTAGCAGATCTCTCTTTGCCCCTTTTGAGCTCTGGACATATATGATTTTATGCCATTAATGAACATGCATTTTAGGCATATGTGTGGAAAAGAAACCTTTTTCTATCTTCAGAAATATTGAATAGTCATAGAAATTGCATCCTCTCCATACTAGGAAAAAGAAAAAAATATTGTTGAGTTTTCCATTAATACGGTCACATTCTTTTACCTGTACCTGTAACTGTATAATAATATTTGATTCCTTCTTTTACAAAGTTGGGGGTATCTTCGAGATTAACAAATCATTCCTTATCTAATTTTATTATTTTTAAATTTTCAGTACAAAATATATAGAAGAAGAGAGTATGGATTCCTTTGGAAAAATAACATTCTATCATGTAAATCTATATTTAGGCTGTATATTCTCTTTCCTGGGTCAAAACTCCCCCCAAAAATAGTGTTGTTGATAAGTATTCCCCAATATTGTTTTTCTAAAATAAGTTTTTAGTTTCAGTTCTTAGCTGATTTTTCATGGTTAATTTTTAAAGATCTAGTTGCACATCTAATTATAACTTTAATTTAAGTGCAAATGAAAGAGTTTATTTATCTATTTTTAGTATGTTGTTTTGAATAGTCTTTAAAAAGAATATTCAGAGAACTGTTCAAAGCCTAAGCTTGGAATCAAAAAGTGAGATGGTTGAATAATATGCTTTTCAAAAGTGTATCTGTTTCCAAGTTCTTAATCTTACTATTTTCACAGGTAGTTCAGATTTAAACACATATTTTTCAGCAAGTAGAAAAATACATGAGCCGCTTTCTCTACTAGGCAGAGAAATTTTCAAATGCAGTAAAGTCTATTATTTGAGCTTGAACCTAATGGGGAAAACAAAATCAACACATAAGAAAATCTACAAACGAGAAGAATCATCAAGAGGACTACAGTAGTAAGCCTATAGATGTATAAAAAATATATATGTATATTAGTGTTTTGTGTATATATACAAATAGCAATAATTCACCATAGCTAAAATGCCAAAGACATTTTTTAAATATTTGAGATGAACACCTGGTCTTGATTCACAATGATCATGATTTATGTAATCATATCTTATTTCTTGTTCTTCAATTCTTCAACAACACCTTTTCAGTATCTTATGACATGGCAGACATTATTCTAGGTTTTAAGTTTAAAGAGGTGAAAAAAGTAGTCACTGCCTTCCAGTGACCACAGTAGTGTTGTAGGCCTGTGCAAATAAAAAATAAATTGCAATATAGTGTGATAAATTCTGTTAGAAATGTTCTTACAGTGCTGTAGGAATAAAAATAAGACAAACTCAGCTTATGAGGGGTCTGAGGAGATAGCAAGATATGAGAGGGCTTTATAGTTGAGGAAATATTCGAGCCAAAATGTGAGGAACTGGTGAGAGTGAAGTCAATAGATGGAGGGGATGGGCAAGTAAGAAGTGAGGAAATAGCAGGAAGGGGAGAGAGAGTGTGTAACATTCAGAGAAGTGCACAGAATTCACCATGACTGAAGTGTGTGGGAAGTGGTGGAGGATGCTACTAAAAATGTTGGTTAAAAAGGATATTGTGTTGTGTTTGAAGGATCTGCAGAGCAAGTAGGTGATTTTAGCTGGGGAAAGATATGACTGGATTGCTTTGGAAACAGCTAGTGGCAAAGAGATCATTTAGTAAGAGAAATATGTACAACTTATTGTTCTATTTATGAAGGAACACATTGGAGAGGTATTTAGGGAGTCAGATTAATGGAAACCAGTGTCCAGTTGAATCTGAGAGTGTGAGAGAGGGACATACTGGGGGCATTTCTTAGATTGAGTCTTGGGGATACAGATCATGATAATAATTGTGATCCAGCCCCCTATCTGAGAAGCACATTTCCAGGAAAGTATGAGAGAGATCTGAATTTCAGAGATTTAGGATTAGGAGCATACAAGGATGTGATTGATGGCAGAAGTTGTAATTATACATTAAGGGCCAAAAAAAAAAAAGAGATGATTAAAAAGGAAACCTCCAGTAAATTTGGACAATTCAGGGTCAATAAATGAGGAGACAGGACCACAAAAGGCAGTAATACACAAGCTTTATTTGTGTGGTTTTGGACAGAGTTGCATGACAGGGAAAGTCTCTCCCAGCAAGCCCTTCCAGAGACTACAGTGTGGGGCTGTAGTCTCTGGAAGAGACTATTTGCACAGGAGGGGGGCTAGCACAGGGGATTCTCAGAAGAGGAGGGGAAAATAGAGAAGGGGCTTACATATCTAGATGAAATCACTCAACAGCAAGGTGGGTAGATTTGGTTCGCATTGCTCCCAAAGGCAGCAGCAAATTGGTGTCTTTCATGGCTACAGGCTTTGTCTTATCTCAGGGTATGTAAAGTAGGTAGACTCTAACTGGCTAAATACATATTTATTTGGACTGCA